TTATTTGTAAAGATTATTGGCACTTATCTGGCAGCTCTTCGATAGCACTTGAGTAAAATTCCGCAGGTTTTTGATACGAAATAGTCTTGAATCCGGTTTTCATTAGGAAAAGCTTTTTCCTTCAAGTCGTTTTAAATTGATCGAAAAAGATAATGTTGCAATGATAATGTTGGTGCAAGGTCAGATGAATATGGCAGAGTGGGTAGAACAGACTAGCCAAGTTCCTGTGTTATTCTTTCTGTATGTGACCATGCGTTGTTTTGGAAGAGAACAATATTTTCCCTTTAATCCACTGTGTACGCTGCCATTAATTTGCAAAACCTATGGTGTGTTAGGTTACTGCCACGTATAACGAGCAGTTAAGATGATACATTTCTCATTAAAATTGATTCCCCAAAACGGAAATTAATTGTGATTCAACTTAATATGTTAAAATATTTTTCTTTTATATTTATTAGATACTTGGTTGTCAGCCAGTCGAGGAGAAGGACAGCTCTGAATGCAAAATACCGTAGAGAAGGGAACAGGAAACAACTCTAAGAAATCATTTCAATTTATATATAAGAAAGAAAAGGAATATGCGTAGAACCATGTTCACCTAAATCCTGAACGGTCGTTGTTTCATGAGTCCTGTAACCAATTAAGTTCGTCTGGACACCACAAATACTGAGGCCATAGGAGCACTAGTGTGTCTATGTCTAAGATAACCTGGCAAAGCCCATCCTCTAAGCTGGTTTTAAATTTTTTGAATTTTCGTTCTAGAATGGTTGCCGTCTCAAAGTAAGAAGAGCCCACTCAGCTCTGCTTTTTAACCCATAGATGGAGGGATTCATACCTTTCTTAATGTTATTTGTACGAAAATGGAACGCCGCGGGTGTGGCCGGAATTCGAACTCAGCTAACCGACTTCGAATTCCGGGTCGCTAACCGTTATATTAACGATACATCCAAATCTTAATAGGAAATGGTATTAAGAATAAGATTCTATTGAGTATGATCATTGTAGGTTGGTTGGTTGTTTGGTCTTAAAATTTTTTCGTAAAGATATGACTTTCCTCATTTTTGTTGACATTTTTTTTCAGCGTTAGAGTAATAGCTTCTCTTTTCGGTTCGGTTCAGGTAGAACCTGTGTTGAGTCTTCTATCTTGGTCTTAGCAAGATTAGAGATGTACATTACTATTCACTAGAATAAGTTTAACTCAAATCACGAATTATATAGGTTTTAACTACTATAAATATTGTTATACTCTACTTCAAATTAGATCTCTTTCTGATTCACTCTACATCAAAAGCTCTGGGCAGAATGTAAACACCAAGAAAGCAAAACTAAAAAAGAAGAAATCGCCCTGTGCGCTGGGGCTCCAGTATCACATCCGGCTCATAAAAAGAAATCCCTAATATATATATATATATATATATATATATATATATATATATATATGAAGAGAGAGAGAGAGAGAGAGAGAGAGAGAGAGAGAGAGAGAGAGAGCTAATCATGAACGTTGCCGCTAAAACAAAAATATGACAAAAATCATGAGTCATGATCACACCGTCTGCTGCTGTTCAGGACGCTGATCACGACACTGAAGACAGTCACAGGCGTTCGGGCAAGCTGTCAATGTCACCGCCAGTGACCTCGGTCAACCGACACGACACATGTATCAACTCCTAGTTTTACCGACTCTCCGCGTCATCTAAGTTGCTTCCCTCGTCCACAAAAAAGATTTTACCGCATTGATTCACTATATCGGCAATACAAAGAATTTTATCTTAATAATTCTCGTCTTCTTTTCTATCCGCCTCACCGGCGGCACCTCGTTATTTAGTATGTTCTCTCCTCCAACGACACGCGTTTATAGGCATATTAATACTTTAAAGCTGACTCACGTTTGAATCAAAATGCACTCCACATCCCTCATTATTCGGGCTGGTCAGCTTCAATATATTTTATGGATATAGCTGATAATAAAGTTTCTGTAGTGAATTCTAACACCACAGAGAGCTTTTAACTTGTATCCTTGTAATGTGCTAAGTCTTTCTTTTTGTGTGCCATGTCCTTTCAAGAGGTAGGCGATCATGGCTCTGCACCTCTCTCTATCTCTTGCAGCTCTCAACAAGTTCCTTTCCTCTGCTTCCTTCCCCAGACCATGTTCTGTCATCCACTTGCTTAAGCCCACCAGGTATGTCACGAATTGTTTTCCCTTGACTCTCTTTCCCTCTATTCGGCCCCTGAGTATCAGATTCTCCAGGCCTTCTTTCCTTATTATGTGTTCCAGAAACCTCAGCTGCCCCTTCCTGATGTTAAGTATAAGCTTCCTCGCTGTTTGCAACTCTCTAAGACCTCATCGTTTCTCATACGCTCGGTCCATGATAACCTTAGCATCATTCTATAGAATCACAGTAAATATCCAGAGATACTTCAAAACTGGTTGCTGATTCGTTCTGGGAATTATTCTTTGCTCTGAGTCGATGATGTTCTTAAAAAGATATTAAAGCATTCTATTCGTGAACGTGAAGAAAATCGTCAGATACAGGGGAATATGTTATTTTCAATAGTGAGCATTGGGTTCGATCCTCAGTGGGTACCTCATACTTTTGGCCTTGTGTCACATCTAAGCTACGCTTAGAAAATCACCATAATTGTTATAATCGTAGTAATAGTAGAATGCTTGTATTTTTAATGCTACTACTATTACTGATACTGCTGTTGCTACTACAACTACTACTACAATATTGATGATTGTAATATTTCTGTGGTAACAAGCTTTATGTTTTACATTAATTATTACTATTTCTATTCATACCAGCATGAATCTGAATTTTATACTTTTTCTTTTAATGATTAATCTTACTGCTACTACTATTATGTATAATATTTGTATGAGAAACGGCAACTTGAAGTAGCAGTAATACTACTTAGATGTACAAATTAAGTATTATAGTAGTAGTAGTAGTAGTAGTATTTATAGGAATACTTGCTTAAGAATTGTTATTATCATTATTATTATTTGGTAATTTAATTCCATGACGCACATCTGTTGGAAACATTTTGCCGATCTAATGACTCAGCAAAGATAGATGGCAGGCGAGATGATTGTTAAGTCTCACATGTGATGTCAGCTTTCTGTACAAGACCTGTGGAAAAAAAAAGTGTCAAATTGGACAAGAGGTACCAGTCTCTTCACGCCGACGACCCAAAAAGAAAGAAAGAAAAAAAAATCAAACTTTCATACAATTCCGCGAGATGAGAAAGTCTCCAACAAAAGAGCACAGTCCGTGGCTCATCCCGTAAACACGTGTGATTCGAATAAACCCTGTCTGAGTTAAGAGTTTTAGTCAATAACTACAGAGATCTTGGTCAAGTTTGAATTCCAGGCGATTCAACTGCATTCGTTTACGCGCAAATTCTCTTGGGAAAAGTATACATCCTCTTTTCTCCCCCCCAGCTATGGGTAAATAGCATGACAGACCGGGTTCTATAGCCTTGGATGGCAACTGGTCTACTGCAGAAAGAAATGGCCACCCTCTGCGGGAAAAAAAATCTGCCTCGTCAGTCATGTATCGAAAGATAGATGATCGCCTAAGCATTTCACACGTTCTTCTTTCAGATAAACAAAATGGCTTTCGTTTCTTTAGGTCAACCGCCGATGTGTTAATGGTTATGACTGAGTTTGTATATCAAGATTTTAATAAGAACAGTGAGGCTCAAGCAATATCTTTAAATATCGGAGGATTGAGGAATCGGAGAGCCGAGTTCGAATTCCAGTCAAATCCATTATATTCACTTACGTGTTAATACCCATGGGGAAAGTATGAATCATCTTCTCTCCCCAATAAATAGCATGACAGACCGGGTTCTATAGCCTTGGATGGCAACTGGCCTACTGCAGAAAAAAATGGCAACCTACTGCGGGGAAAAATCTGCCTCGTCAGTCATGTATCGAAAGAGAGATTATCGCCTAAGCGTGTACCACACATGGCACATCATAACTGACTGACAAGAATCTCTAATCAACTTCGAATTGGTTAAGCCTCTCATTTCACACGGTCTTCTATGGGTTAAATAATAAGACTGATTGAAATGTTTAGACTTGTTTGATAACTAGTCTAGGAGAAGGACAACTCTGTATTCAAAACCTGAGGAGGCCACTTTGGGGACATTATAGAACACTATGTGCACCTGTATTCTCTCGAAAAGTGTGGATGATTCTGCACAAGCCTTCAACACTATAATCAAATCACATGTGAGGGTAGTCTAACTGTTAAGTTCTAAGAGCTGAATTGTTAGACCCTCATACGTTATAGACGACGGAAATGTCCATCATACTAGACTGATGATGGGTAAATGAATGACAAAATAAAAAGTACTATGGTGGAGTAATGGATAGTGGATCGGATATTGAGGAATCGGTGAGCCGAGTTCGAATTCCAGTCGAATCCATTACTTTCACTTACGTGCTAATATCCTTTGGAAAGGTATGAATCTTTTTCAGATGCTATGGGTAAATAGCAGGACAGACGGGGTTCTTTAGGATGGCAACTGGTTTGCCGCAGAAAGAAATGGCAACCTAATGCAGGAAAAAAATCTGCCTCGTCTGTCTTGTAGCGAAAGATACATGATCGTCTAAGCATGTATCACGCATGGCACATATAACTGACTGACTAGAATCTCTAATCAAAAGCTGAGTTCGAATTCCAGTCGAATTCACTAATACCTTTGGGAAAGGTATAAATCCTCTTCTTCTTCCCCCCACCCAGCTATGGGTAAATAGCAGGGCAAACCGGTCTACCACAGAAAGAAATGGCAACCTACTGCGAGAAAATTCCTTTCATGTATCAAAATCTGTCATGTATCGAAAGATATATGATCGCCTAAGCATGTATCACGCATGGCACATAACTGACTATGGGGTGCCTTTCATCTGATGAAGTCCTTTCGAAGGACGAAACTCGTTACATGGGATTTTTTACAAAAAATACATTGTCTTTAAGGAATTAAGCTTACGGCCACATCATGTTGATGCACAGGTTCTCGCACGATCACCGAATTTAAGCAATGGTGAGCCTAGTCAGTATCTAGATGGGTGACCACTTGTGAATACCAGGTGCTGCAAGGTTGGGTATGCAGTAGTGTAATGGCTAACGGTTCGGAATTGGAAATCGGAGAGCCGAGTTCAAATCCAAGTCGGGTTTGTTATATTTACTTACGCGCAAATACCCTTGCGAAAGGTATGAATTCACATCTCCCCAAAGATATGGGTTAATTAGTAGGACGTATACCAGTAAATCATGATTATGTTTCCACAAAAATCTTATAATCTAAAAATGTTTTCCGGTAAAAGGTTGGTAAGCCATAAAAAAATAACCAAAAGAAAATCAGTCAAAGTAATAATTAACGATTTTAGTGTTTTAACTTTTCAACCGTTTATAAATTCTTGGATTATTTGAAAATGTTTATAAATAATGTGAAAATTTCTTTTATAAAATATACGAAATATTCTTAGTTTTGTTGATCATCTTCAAAATCCAGTCGTGGAAATTCCTCGCGTCTTATTTTGCAGGTACGAAGACAAATTTCTATTAAACGGGCATAGATATATTTATCATAACATAGGCGATACGAATCCCATAGAAATACGCCTTGGCACAGATTATATGTTTGACATCTGTTTTGCCTGCAGTTTCAGGATACTGAAACAATAATTACCGATATAGTTAGCATGCTTCTGCAAATGATCAGTTTACATACAGACGGACGGAAGACAGATAGAAGAGTTATCCTATTTGCAAATTCCAAGACTTGTTTGTAAATGTATTTCAAACCTAAACTTAAAAGCAGTTCTTTAGAAGCAAAACATTTTCATATCCTCTTTGTATATATAACTTCTCAATGTATCTGTGTTTAACGGTAATATTAACTGTTTCTCTCCAGGGAAATGTTTGGCATACATTGACCGAGACCAAATATCGTTTGAAATTTATAAAATCTTTCTCTTAAAACAACACGTTTTTAGGAAAACTGATTTCTCAAGTAGCTTTTATCACTGTTTCCAGTATTGATGGACGTTTTCTTTCGAACCTTCTATTTCAAGTGGCGTAGAATGTTAACATCTTGATTGTCATTATTTTCTCTTCGGGCTACATGTGCTATCCATTTTAGCTGTTGCTGCTGTTGGTAGTCCTTAAATGATATGGTTTTTGTGTTATTTAGTACAGTTCTTTGTTTATGATTGTATAGCACCAGTTCACAATGTTGAAGGAAGGATAATCTTTGCCAGGAGCCTCAGGCTTTACTCGCTCAAAGCCTTTTTTTCACCATTGATTTTAGAAAGCGGTTGTATACAACTGACAGTTTAGATATTTCTGAATGTAGGAAGGTAATCTGTCTATATTTCTGAGATGAGGTATTATGTGCACTATTTACATTATTCGGACTATTGTCCTCATCTTTGTTGCCATGTTCATCACAACATTTCGGCCCTTGTACGGTCCGCTTTCTTCAGGTGGTTGGAATGAACTGAACCCTTTATTAGACATGGCACATGGAACTAGAACAGTCTACTCCAGTGAGCGAAATAAAGGGTTTAGTTAGACATTCCAACCATCTGAAGAAGACCGGAGCGTACAGCGGCCGAAACGTTGTGATAAACATGGTGACAAAGATGAGGACACTAGTCCGAATAATGTAAATAATGGAGGTAGGAAATTTTCATGGTTAAAAGTGCTACTTTTTTTTTCCCCCCAGAAACTCTTGGATAAAGTAACATAAGCTTATTCTATTTCTAGTTTACGATGAAAATGTCAAAAATCTACATGTACAAATTTTACAAATTTTTTGAAAAATATTATTAATACTTAGAAACCAGATAAAGAACGTCTCAAATCCTGCCAGAATTACAAAAACGTTTCGGAACATTTTTTTTATAATGATGTTCACTTTGTACAAGGCCTAAGAGCCATTCAAGGTAGAGGGTTACAGTGTAAGAGGTACAGTTTATGAAGATATATGGGGAAGATAACGGTTGATCCTAGACTTGAATAGGTTAAGATTATAGGGATCGAGGGAGCGTCTTCTTGGGAGTCGGTTCCACAAAGCAGTTGAATTTCGATGTAGTACGAAAGTAATGAGGGTATTTCGTTTCAATGCAGCATGGCGAGTTTTAGCCGTAAAGGTTAGGACTGGTGGAACTAAGAAATATAGTTCGTCTGAACACTTTCCATGGAAATAGCGATAAAAGAGCGAAGTATGAAAAGAAGAAACATTTTGAGCAGAAGCTCTTCTGTTCAGTGTAAGCACAGAGTAGTGGTCAGCTTTCACGATCATCTCTCTCATTCCAAATGTCAAGAAAAAGAAAGAGTTCTCGTGTGCAGTTGAGAAGATGTCTATTGTGTGATTTCGAAATCGTTCCTGGTTGGTTGAAGAGGATCAAAAAAACATTTTTAAGAGAAACCCTAACCCTTATGACCGATTACAAAATGTTTAATAACTTACAGTACGACGACTTTGGGACAATGGGGAAATCTTTGAAGAAGGTAGCCACTGGAGCCAGATAAAGATGAACTACACCACACAATAGACAAATCTGTCGTTTAAAAGCTCTAACCCGATAATCTTGAACAATTTGGCTGCCATAGACATGATATTGGAATTTAATTTGAAAACCACAACTACAATATTTAGCCTTCTTTTAGCGTTCTGGACTTCTTTTCTAATCTATCTCAACTTTTTCCCCCTGCTATCAAATCCGACTCCTAAAGGATATATTTTCTGACAAACGAGAGAGTAGGAAAATATAAAAAGGAATTTGACCACCATTACCCTGACCACGGTGTCATAAAGTCTGGGGATAACGCTCACAACTTGTCGATCCTTGCTTCCAAAAAAAAAAAAAAGAAAAAAAAAAAGCTCCACAAACCTTGAATCAGAGATAAGAATATATTTTCTAACGAATGAGAGAGCCAGGAAATTGTATAGCAATTTTGGAGGGAAATTTCCCGATATTTCTGAGCCGCCAAATCTCCATAAATACGGAAAATAAGCGTCTCTTGGACAGTACTTACTCGACAACCGTTCGTGATAACATCAGGTCGGCGATAGAATACCAGTCATCTTCTGAGCCTGTTTCAAGAGAGAGATCTGCCTGCTGGATTGTAAAGACAGAACGTCAGTCCACTACTAAAAATTGAGATCTGCCGCCTTGCAACTAGAAGATTTCTGTCGCCGGCCTACTAACTCAATCAACTACAAAATTTGGATTTTCTGGCAGTCCCCACCCCAACAAGAACTCTGAGGAAATCTGTGAGTGTCTTAATCCTTAACAACAATCTACTCGCTTAAAGAACTTTTAGGTGCTTAGAGAAATATTTTGAGAAAACCTTTTTTTTTTATGAACATTTTTTCTTTCTTTAAAGTTAAAGGAATTTTCTATCTTTCTTTTTCTCGTAACTATGTATAACCTTTTATCCGTTTCTGTGAATGTAAATAAACATTTTCTTCTTTTATTGTTACACCCCGAGCAGGAGTTTAATTTTTTATTCTTCCGCCTAATAGAGATAATTGCCCGCTCTAATCTTTCAAGCCGCTGTTGATTTTTTAATGTATTGCCTGAAGCTGCAGAGTGCGACCGATGAACTCGTTAGAAAATGCCAACAACTGCACAAAATCCTCCTCAAATGTCCGGCCATATATTGCACAGATGACCAGTTGGCAATTTCACCAGTATTAGCACTATTTGACGCCCTCTGATTAGAATGGTGATTATGCTGAAGAATTACTTATTTTAAGTTTAAGGATAGCTTCACAGGATTTTCGGAAACTTTCTTACCAATTCAATATCTGAATGATATTTTATTTTGATAGCTCAGGGCAGTTCTGACTGTGAACTTAGGTTGCTAAATAGTCTCATTCTAAAATATAATATGCATATATATTATGCCTTTAAATTCCTTGAGGAACATAGGGCCGCAAGATATTGTTGTTTTCTGTAACAAGCCAGTTTTTAAGTGAGTAGGTTGTTGGCTTACTTACCCCCCCCCAATCCTGGAGGATCAGGTTTTGAATTAGAACCAGGTCTGTCCTGTTATTTATCCATAGCTGGGAGGAGAAGAAGAGGATTCATACCTTTCCCAAGGGTATTAGCACGTAAGTGAATGTAATGGATTCGATTGGAATTCGAACTCGACTCTTCCGATTCCGAGCCGCTATCCCTTATTTCACCATGCCTCCTCTCATAATATGCATAAAATCGGTAAAAACTTCTAGTAATAACAGAATCATTTAACCATATATCAGCTTGATTTCGACTACTGGCAGATCTCTTGTGTTGGTGGTGCTGATATATTCAGGAAAGCGAGAGAGAGAGAGAGAGAGAGAGAGAGAGAGAGAGAAAAGAAACTTTCTTCAGACTAACCAAAGCGGAGGTTTTTGACTGATACCACTTTAAATACTGTGAAAATCTAGGATATCGATACCTTTAAAAAATTTAGGTACCAATATTTATAGATAGAATTATCCCATCTGTATTTAGCACTTTTACTGCCGAACAATTTCTATCCAACATTTTCTTTTAATGTCACTTCTACTTATTGGATATTGATAAAGTAGCCAAGTTGTTCAGTCACTCATGGCGTTGCGTGTTCCAGCCAACCTATATTTAGGTGATAGCTTTCAATGAGTCGTAAATGTTCGTACTTTAGGTTTTAACCATAAACGCGATATAGATTCATTCCAAGAGATGTTCAGAATAACGTTTCGAAGAATATTAGTCCATGGAATGGTGATAATGAATCGTCTGAGAATTTCAAGCAATGTCTGCATATTTTGATAGTAAACCGCTTGTTAAGACTTGTCAGATCAACTTTCTTATCAACCAGCATATTAATCATTTGCGAATTCCAAGACTTCCTCTTAGCATCAGATTTATCATTTCAACGCTGCAATAAATATGATGTTGGCCAACATTTCTAAATATTTAGCTCAAGTGAAATAACCGGTGATAAAGCAACTTCAACTTATAACGAGAAAACTTGAGTTATATTGCCCAATTTATAATACAAAATGTTGAGAGCGAGGCTCCTTGCTTTGAACGTCTATTGGGATTCAAGTTCACTTCAGACCTCACTTCCAACTCATAAACCTGTAAAGACGCTGGAAAAAATGGTTGGTTCCTTGTACCCCTACAGAAAGTACCTAACTCTTTCTGCCATGCTTTTTCCGTCCTGGGTAAGACGATAAACTACATCCGCGTCCTGGGTAAGACGATAAACTACATCCAACAGCAAGGCCTCTGATCAGAAGATTTTAAGGAGTGTTGAAACACCTCTTAATTGCTGGTGTTCCCAGGTCCTCCCTGGCCCAGGGTGGTAGTACTTGTTAGGATTCCATCTATAGGCAAATAGAAACTAGGGTAAAAACACTATGAAAGTGCAAAAATAGGTTTTAATACCAGAAATACATTGTCAAAAAATTATTTCTAGCAATAAATTTTTGAAGAAAAAAAGAAATATTGCCAGCTATACAGAAAAAAACAACATTACCAGCAATAGTTTTTTTGGAAAAGATTATTACCAGAAATACATTTTTGAAGGAAAAATATTAGCGGAAATAGATTTTTGACAAAACAAAATATTACCAGCAATAACAATTTTGTCGGCATTAAATAAAACATTGAGATTGATATGCCGTAAAGAAACCAAATCTACCATATTTTTTTCTTTACAAAGTCAGATCAAACCAAAACTGGAATATTGTTGCCATATCTGGGGTGGAGCTACCCAGTCCTCATCTTCTAGCCTTGATAGAGTTCAAAATCGTTTACGCGGGCTAATGGGGGATGGCTTATAGGGGATGACATATTTCACACTCTGCAACTTAACGAAACGTCTGAAGCCTATTGTTATCGCTGTCTTCATTATAAATGTACTGACGAGCTACATTACTTAACTCAACATTTAACATTAAAACCCGCCATGACAGGCAAACATATTCTATTAGTACAAAGGAAGTTCCATTCGGGCAGCTTCTTCCCGAGAACGGCTACTTAGTGGAACAGACTCCCAAACTTCCGACCGCTACGTTCTTAATCTCTTCGAGTCTAGTGTCAACCGTTATTTATTGTCCATATTAGGCATCTGCCGTCAGTAATTACTCAGGGTAGGCAGCTTGTGAACTTTGTGTCGTAAATCTACAAATAATAAATATTATGCATTTTATGCTTAATAATCAAGAGTAATCTTCATAATCTTGTTAGATTAGGTGCATATTGTGCCACAGAAGAAAAATGTAGCTGCTGATTTATTTTATTCTGGGTAGGCACGACACGTCTATGCTATATATATTTTATATAATAAAAGAAAAAAACATCGTATGTCAGGTCCTCAAGAGATTGTCAGTTTAAATCTAAATTATCCGCTTTCAAACAGTCACTGTTTATATAAAAAGTTATCATGTCATGAATTCTATAACCCATGTGGGTCTTAGGGGTGCCACAATTACTGCAACCATCACAACAGTAGACGTGTCTTGAACAAGATTGCCTGACGAAGCCCATCCCTCTTCAGGCTATATAATAAATAGGTATTTTTTAAATATTTTATAATAATACATAAACACACATGAAGCTCCCAATTTAAACCCAGCCTTATGTCACATTCAATCATAGTGGCTGTATGGATAAATAGCAGGCAAATGTTGGTAGTAATTACTCAGGGTAGGCGGCTTGTGACCTTTATGTAGTAAATCTAATTAAAATATTTTGCATTTTATGCGTAATAATTAGAGTAACCTTCATAATTTTGTTGGATTAGGTGCATATTGTACCATAGAAGAAAAATGTAGCTGCTGATCTTTTTTATTCAGGGTAGGCATTGCCTCCATTGCTTACCTAGATGGCGTGTCCCTGATAAATAGCTATATAAATCACACAAGCGCATACATAAACACACATTTATATATAAAAAAATTAAATGACTATCCATTTAAATCTTCAAATATCCTGCAAATCATATTTTTCCATTAAATTAAATTATTAGTCAATATTGTTAGTTTTTGTTTTTAACTTCTCAGCCTTGTAATTATCAGCACTGTACGTGTGTTTATCAATTCAATTTAATCAACTATTTTATTCAAATTATTGTCTTTCCCCGGGACTATCTCCTGGCAAATGGCAGTCAAACCAAAGTTGCGTCATACAAGTCTATTTTTTAGCCTTAAACTCAAGAATGAAACACAGTATGTTTGGTAAAAAATAAGTAAAAAAAAAAAAAAAAGAAAAAACGTTTTTGATTTTAAAACTTTAAAAATGCCCTAATAAAAATACAAAATAAAAAAAAAACACCTAGTCTGAAGTCCTCAAGAGATTGTCAGTTTAAATCTAAATTATTCGTTTTCAAACAATCATTGTTTATATAAAAAAAAAGTTATCATGTCATGAATTCTATAACCCATGAGGGTCTTAGGGGTGCCACATTTACTGCAACCGTCACAACAGTTGATGTGTCTAGAACAAGATTGCCTGACGAAGCCCATCCCTCTTCAGGTATAGGTATCTTAAGTCTTTTATAATAATAAACACACATGAGGCTCCCAATTTAAACCCAGCTTTATGTCACATTCAATCCAAGTGGCTGTGTGGATAAATAGCAGGCAAATGGTGGTAGTAATTAGTCATCGTAGACAGCTTGTGACCTTTATGTAGTAAATGTAGAAAAAATTAAAATATTTTGTATTTTATGCATAATAATTAGAGTAACTTTCATAATTTTGTTGGATTACTTGCATATTGTGCGACAGAAAGAAAAATGTAGCTGTTGGTTTATTTTATTCCGGATAGACTCTGCCTAACTAGAAGGGCACGTACATATACTTATAATCTGCGCATCGTTTCTCTTCTTATGCCCATACAACAACTTCAATTAATAACGACCTACCTTGGGTGGCTCTTGGGATTGACATTAGGTGAACATTTAATAAAAAAAAATGTCTCATCACAAGTAGAGGAGCGCACAGAAGACTCACCAGAGAAACAATATCAAAAGATTGGTAGATTTAACAAAGGCACGTGTTGGTAGGCATTTGACTAATCATCGTTGGCTTTTAAGTGGTATCACATTTAAGTTACTAATGGGGAATAGATATATTTCGTAGAGCACCTGTTCTAACTAGTCTATGCAATGCGAAGATGTGTCATTAGATCAAAAATGGAGTATCTGGGCTGGAGCTGCTCCATTTCTCAAGGCTCACGGCCATATCACGTTGAAACACCAGTCTCATACGATCATCAAAGTTAAGCAACGTCGAGCCTGGTCAATACCTAGATGGGTGACAGCTTGGGAATACCAGATGCTGTAAGTTTTCATGTAAGGGTGGTGTAATAGTTAAAGGGTCGAAATTGTTAATCGCAGTTTCAATTCCAGTTGGGTTCGTTATATACACTTAAGCCGAAATACCCTTGGGAAAAGAATGAATCCACGTCTTCTCCCCCAGATATGGGTTAATTAGTAAAACTGGTATCAGTAAACCATTATTGATTTAAAAAAAACAATGTTGAAATCTAAAGATATATTCCGGCTTTAAATAACCTGCAAAGGGTTGATAAGCTGTAAAAAAAAAAAAAGAAAAAAAGAATCAACCAACAAAAAATAAATTCTCATTTTGCGGCCTTCAAATCTTCCAGAGTTCAAAATCGTTTAGCATGTCTTGTCGGGGATTGGGCGGGGAGATATTTTCCACTTTGCAAGCTCTTTCCCCACTGACGCAACGTTGCAAGACTGTCGGTACTCTATCGTTATTTCCAGGTCAGGATGAGCTCCATTCATTAATCCAACTCATTCAAACCCTAACAGCAAGTACACGCCATGCCACTTATATGTAGTCGAATCACCGTCATATCCCCCGCGTTTGAAATGTAAGAAGAAATTTCCAGACACCTTTTCCCTTAAAAACTGCAACTTTGCAAAACGAACTCCCGCGTGGATGCTTCCCTGAACAATACAGTTTTAACCTCTTCAAGGGTCAATTTCAGTCTATCATCCTTATCTGCATAATCTTTACTTTCTATCACCTTTTACGTTAATATCACAAAACATCATTCACTATTACCATTTTGACTATAACCCAGTAATTTGAGTGACTATCGAGCCTTGTATTTGGTAAATCCAAGGTTATAAAGAATGTGAATTCGTGAATGGTAAAAACATCATCGGTAAACACTGAAATAAATAAAAAGAGAAATAGCGACTATTATCAGATTAGATCCATTGAAAATTGTAATTTTGAAACCAAGCCAACAACATTTAAATGTGGCTTGGAAATAAGGGGATGCCCGTTGAGAATTAGTTCGAGGCAAAGCTCCAAAAACGAATGAAAAGTTGTATCCAAAATAACATATTTTATTGTGTTATGCTTCACGTCGCATATTCAATCCAGTCACTCTTGATCACCCAAAACTTAATCACGCAATCACTTTTCGACCTTTTGGCTAAATAAGCACGACTATACGGCCTGGATGCCAGAGGCTCATCCTTCAGTCAGAGGTACCCGATTGAACTACCCTTGAAAGCTCAGCGCCATTAAATTCTGAATTCCGTTGCTTGCGATCCCTGGGGCTACCTATAAGCTGATTTTACTTTGGCTACTAATGAGAAGTCAGTTTAAAATTTAGTTAAATGCACTAGAATTAATTACTTGAAGCTCCATCTGGTCAGCGTTTCATGGTTAAATCATAGCCTTATGTTATTTTCCCGAAGTGATATGAGGTTGGGCTTATCTTGTCTTAAAAAAAAAAAAACTTCAATTAAGTAACATCGTGTCATATTTTATAACTTTGGGTAGCTGTTGTAACCTAGAAAGTGTCACTGAATGAGGAATAACCAAAACGCAGACGACCATGCATTCTGTCTTCTTAAAATTATTTGTACTCTCTGTTTGCCTTTCTTTACTACCTTGTCTAAGATTTCTTTGTGTCTTTGTTGTAACTTAGAGAGGGTTATTGAACGAGGAATAACTAAAACGGGGGTTGGAAATGAAATGGCAATCTTTATAACATCAGCAAAATACAATACTCGCCAGCGGCGTGAAGTAGGTAAACCACATCTAGTGGTGGACTACTTAGAATATCATCCACACTTACAATAGTGTCCAATGTATTTATGAGGATTGAGACATACCCATTAGTGTTCATACATACGGTAGCAAATGGGATAATTGATTCGACGCTGGCATCGATGATTCCATATTACATTAAAAGATGGAGCAAGACATTCCATGATGTTTGAAGTTTTTACTGAAGACATTTTCAAGAAAATCATATTGCAAGCAAAACAAATAAATAAATAAATAAAAGCCCATGTCGGGCCCCGTGTCTTTAGAAAAGAGAAGTTCTGGCGAGTTTCAGTCAAGCGCGATCATCAGCAGTAGGGGAAGCACTCATCAAGAGGAAGGTTAATTTTCAGGTTCCAAATTCTTCAGTTAGGATTGTCACACGAAGCATTAGTTATTGATTTGTGAATTTGGTAACATAATTATTTTAAGTTCATTTTGACCCGGACAGTGGGATCAGTGGAAATAGAGCGAACAATAACTGAGCAGTACTAAATAAGAACTATACGAGATATGCCTAGACGTTGGCAGCAGGACGAGAACAGTCTGCCATTTAAATAAAGGGTTACATTCGAAATTTCCTGAAGGCTACTCGGATCGATAAGCACCTGATGAAGAACGGAGGACATAACGGTCGAAACGTCGTGATAACAACAAAGATGTGGATAGCAGTTCACATGTAAATAATGGTAACTCCATATACCAGAAATTCAAATAGTTTTGTCAGACTTTTCAACTGTTTCAACATCTTAACTGCTGGAAGCATATCTTAGTCAATCTGGATCGGGACGACCTGGGTTCCTGCAGGAGCTGTTCTTCGAATCCGAAAATTAGATCGAATAACCTACAGATAGGTTCCGAACACTTCTCGGAATTTGGAGGGAAATTCTTTTATTGTTTTTCTGGATAAAAAAAATAATAAATTAAAAAAAAAACGCAGCTGTTTCACCATAAATCAAAATGTACCAAAAATATTTTCGAATTTCAAGAGCCCAACGCAACGTCACCATTTTCTCTGATAGCCAGTCGATGCACGCTGAAGCGTTTAACCCCTTTCCCCGGCGTAGACATGTATATACGTTTTTTACAGGAAATTTCATTTTCAGATACAGATGAATAAACATGCCCCCCCTCCCGCCAAAATGTCCCCAAACCAGTTAGAGACGTGTTTATACGTCAATCTTGAACTAAAATGATATATTCATCATTAACTAATCATAGCCAAGGATCGGAAGCTCATGAAAGATTGAAATAGAGTTCAAATATATATATATATATATATATATATATATATATATTATTCCAGGATCATTTTCCAACTTATTCAAGATGATCTTCGCCCTCTCTAACAGTTTAACATTCTGTCCTGTAGTAACAAGGTTCCTCACACGTTTCGCGTACGATTTCATTTTCACGTCTTTTTTCAGTGCTCTTTGGACTGTTATAGCTGAAATTCCTCTCTCACGTGCTAAACGTCTTATGGTTTGGGTTGGATCTTTTCTAATTGATCTCTTTAGCTTAAAGTAGATTTGCCGTTGTGACCGCCTGATCTAGTTTTCTCTCAGTGATCCCTCTTTTTTAAGACTTATTCACCGTGTTCTTGATGGTTCTTGAATGGACTTTGAAGATGGAAACCAGAGTATGAATGTTGTTACAATTACTGAAGGCCTGAATGATCTTTTTTCCTCCCACCATTGCTCATATGAGAAGACAGTGGAACTGACACAAAACGATTTTAACCGGCTCTCTTTCTAGCGGAATAACTCAAAGGGTTTTTTTTTTTTTTAGTGATTCTTACGACAAATGGTATCAAGAGGGTTAAACGTAATATCTACGTGGAAAAAGAAATTCAATTATTTTAGTGCTTTTTTTTTTTTTTTTTAGATATTAAACATTTTGTAGGATGATCATTTATGCTGTAACACGTTTTGGACAATTTTGCTGTTACACCTGGTATATATGATATGGATTTGTATCCTTTATTTAGAAGTCATTAGTGTTATTAACTGTCAAAATTATTTGCCATTTTTTAAGTTTTCCATAATTTCTGTATAAATCTTATATGCGGAAAAAAAATATGCCACGTTCCGAAAAATAAGTAAAAGCCCCCTCCCGCCAAAAAAATAAAGTTTATTTCAAATAAAAAAGGAAGAAGCATGTTCACAAAAGATTAATATATCCGTGGTAATAAAATAAGCGCATCCCATCTCCACTTTCTCTTGTAACCATCCATTACAATAATATAAACGTTTTTAGCGCTAAAGCTGAACTAGTCAAATAAAACTTCATAAGTTTCTACTTAGAATTGTTAATTACAATATCTAAATAAAAACGTTAATTTTATGTGAAGCCCAAAGTAACAGTCAAACCAACTCAGTAACCTTTAAAACATAAAATCTGATTTAACCCCTGTTTTTATCTCGTGGTACCCTACTTGATAAGGCGACCAACAGACGCGCAGATAGTATAGACTAAGAGAGAGAGAGAGAGGGAGAGAGAGGGGAGAGAGAGAGAGAGAGAGACAGGGAGAGAGAGAGTGATGAAGAGTGAGCGTGAGAGAGAGAGATATGGAGCAAGACAGAGAGAGAGTGAGAGAGAAAGAGAAAGATTGATGAACGGTTATAAACAAAGAGCGAAATAACATATGTATCTTATAGAAATCAATATACATATGCCTGCTGGTGTCTTCCTATTTAGGTGCACTTTTCATCATTGCCCGAATGATCTAAGCCAATGGAAAATGTTTTTTATTTCTGTTTACGGAACAAAACCAAACCACGTGTTACTAAGGAGATCCGGCCAATTGAACGCTCGTAATATATCCGGTTCGAAAGAAAAAAATGAATCGTTGTCCGAAAATACTACAGTGGTCACTCAGAGCACTAAACCTACTTTTCAGAGTACCGTTTATTTATTTATATGAATAACACGCTTATTTTGCTAAATTTTAGACAAGTGGGGCTAAGAAATATGAAAACTGATAGTTTAATTGATAAACATATACGTATAAAATACTGTTAATTCATTTAACCATATCTTATGATAAGAAATACGGCACAATTAACAGTAGATATCAAATAAAATCCCTCATCTATATAAAAACAATGGAGAGGTACTGTAAGAGGAACGCATGGCCACTGTCTAGTTTTAAAGTCTATAAACATTTCTTCATTTAAATGTTATCTAAAATAGCCCAGGAAAATCGAGCCTGCAATCAAACAGAAGAAACTAGTTTATCTCACGCCATCGGTTGTTTCTTGTTTGAAAGGATTTAATTCCTTCGTTTTTCAAATAATTCAGTTAATATATAAACGATAAACGTGGTTTGTTCGCCAGTTCACTGACTCAAAAATGTTTATAAATACGCGATGATTTTGAGAAGCAACGACTTTGCCAGAAAAGTGTTGGCATTCTTGTGAAATCAAAAAAAAAAAAAAAAAAAAAAAAAAAAAAATAGTTTACTGACTCATTGTTATTTTCAATTACTTTCCTAAACTTTGGAAACAAAAAAGAGCGACACCTTATCAAAATTTTAAAAACAAATCGGCATAAACATAAGGTGCATGATTATAGATAGATAGATAGATAGATAGATAGATAGATAGATAAACATACAAACATAGATACATATAGATATTAACGGGCGAGTGATAGATAGATAGATAGATAGATAGATAGATACCTGAACATACATATATAAAGTAAGGATATATATATATATATATATATATATATATATATGTATATATATATATATATATTTAGACAGATAGATGGATAATGAGATAGTGAGATAGCGATAACAAGAAAATAGAGAGGATAAAAGATGTTATTAATTATAAAAATGAAATTTAAAAAATATTGGCCTTATATATATATATATATATATATATATATAAATATCTGTGTGTGTGTGTGTGTGTGTGTGTGTGTAAGAGGAAACAGAAAAGGTTTCGGTCAATGGAGAAGCCCATCCTCGAAAATGGGATATTTAGGGATTCGGTCACATTTTGGGAAATCGGATAATGATCAATACCACACACACACACACACACACACACACACACACACACACACACATACATATATATATATATATATATATATATATATATATATAATAGATAGATAGATAGATAGATAGATAGAGACCGCATGTTGAAAGATTTTGGATGCCATCAATTATTACGATATTGAGAAAGTGGTATTCATCTTTCTCTCTCTCTCTCTCTCTAAAATATATATATATATATATATATATATATATATATATATATATATATATATATAAACATGGGCTGCTGAGAATTTCTCAGTTCGATACATCCCAGAATCTGTTCAAATCAACAAACATCGGAATTTGTTTTTAGTCATATATATATATAATTGCAAGATTGGTATATGCCTGACCAATAGGATATATTTACAGATTTATTTTTACTTTATAGGGTCGTTCATGTAGATAAGTAAATTTTATATTCGGAGTTTAATGTAAGTAAGATGAATAGGTATATTGTGTGTAAATTCTATCTCTTGGAGTTAATGGAACATTACGCGTTGTTTTGAATCCTAACACGTAACCCAATCATAAGTGCTTGCGTGCAAGTAGCTGCATTTAGACAGCAGACAGACAGACAGACAGACACCAGATAGATAGATAGATAGATAGATAGATAGATAGATAGATAGATAGATAGATAGATAGATAGATAGATAGATAGGAACAGATTTGATAGATATATAGATAGATATAAACAGTGATAGATAGAACATGACAGACAGACAGAGACAGACAGACAGATAGATAGATAGATAGATAGATAGATAGATAGATAGATAGATGGATAGATAGATAGATGTGAACATAATGAGCTAACTGTCTAGATAAATATGAACATAGATATATAGATGTATAGATATAAACAGATAAATGTGGACAGAACGAGATAGATACATAGATGTAAACATAATTAGACAGAGATAGATAATTAGATAGATACATATAAAGAAGCAAACAGATATTAACTATATATGTGCCTGTGCGTGCGAACAGAATAAGATAGAAAAAAGATAGATAGATAGATAGATAGATAGATAGATAGATAGATAGATGTTAACAGAACGAGATAGATAGATAGATAGATAGATAGATAGATAGATGTTAACAGAACGAGATAGATAGATAGATAGATAGATAGATAGATAGATAGATAGATAGATAGATAGATAGATAGATAGATAAGAAATGAAGAAAGAAAAAAGTATAAATTTTAATGAAAAATGCAAAAAGGAATAATACGCAATTGCGTAGAAACTAATGAAAAGATGTAAGAACGCAAAATCTTCCAATTTGGCATTATGTCATCCTTTGAATTAAGACTAAAACAATTTTTTATGCAACAGATTTAGACATTTTCTAAAAACCAAGAAGCAAACGTAAGAGAGCAGAAGACGTTCGGTTATATTAACGATGCCGCAGAAGTTGTAAACCACAACAATTGAATTAGTAGTATAAGTAGAACCGTCTTCTAGAATGAAGCAGCAGTATTAGAAAGTCGTTGTGGCTTCCATTGCAATCTACATCGTTACTACATTGCTAAAGCTACTATAAATTTTCAGTGTCATAACTAGTGTAGTCTGCTGTTACAATTGCTACAACTGTTAACACCGCTGCTTGCCGGAAGTATAATATTTATACAAATGCAAGAATGACGACAGAATTGCGTCGTCACTTCCGGAAGGGGATTCTTTATTCCATGTTTACGTTTCCGCTTATTCTTTTTTCTATAGTCGTGATTCATTCAACTTTCTTTAGTTCATTGCATTTCTCATTTAAAGTTTTCTCATTTCTTTCTTTCTTTCTTTCTTTCTTTCTTTCTTTCTTTTCATCCTCCTCTTTCTTTCTTTCTTTCCTTCTTTCTTTCTTTCGTTCCATCCTCTCCTGCTTTTCTTTCTTTCTTTCTTTCTTTCTTTCTTTCTTTCTTTCTTTCTTTCTTTCTTTCTTTTCATCCTCCTCTTTCTTTCTTTCTTTCTTTCTTTCTTTCTTTCTTTCTTTCTTTCTTTCGTTCCATCCTCTCCTGCTTTTCTTTCTTTCTTTCTTTCTTTCTTTCTTTCTTTCTTTCTTTCTTTCTTTCTTTCTTTCCCTGCTTTTCTTTTCTTTCTTTCTTTCTTTCTTTCTTTCTTTCTTTCTTTCTTTCTTTCTTTGCTTTTCTTTTCTCTGCTTTTCTTTTCTTTGCTTTCTTTCTTTCTTTCTTTCTTTCTTTCTTTCTTTCTTTCTTTCTTTCCTTTCCCTTTTTCTTTCTTTCTTTCTTTCTTTCTTTCTTTCTTTCTTTCTTTCTTTCTTTCCCTGCTTTTCTTTTCTTTTCTTTTCTTTTCTTTTCTTTCTTTTATAATTTCATTTATAACTAATTTGCAATAGTTTTACTTTTGTATCTTCTTGGTGCGTCGTTTCCCCCTTATTTTCTTTCCTATTCATAATATTTTTTTTTCTCTGCCATCTTTTCTAGCTTGAAAAACATTATTTCTTTCATCTCCCGTTCTTCTTTTTTATCCACTTCACGCCATTTTTAATCAAAACTAACACCAAAGCACTTCATACATATATTTTGCGTACCTGTAATCTGCCTCACGTATAATTTTGCACGCGGGATTTTTTATGTGCTAATGTGATTTGCTAATTATGAACCGGATGATGAGGGCGGCAAATAAAAATATTGAGGCTTACTCACCATAAAATGATTTCTAAAATATATAATATAGAGACACACACACACGCACATGCACATGTCAATATATGCATGTGTATGTATTTGGATAGAGATGCATATGTACATGGGTGCATTTATGTGTGTGTGTGCGTGTATGTGTATATAAAGATAGATACATACATTCAAACATATATTGTTAAGTATAAAAGGCAACGAATGTCTATTATGTTTGATCGTTAGCCGTTCTAATCTTCGTATAGTTGCTTTAATTTCGGGAGAAAATAAAGATAAAAATTGTCCAGCATTTGGATATTTTTTATTATGCCGTTCCTTGATCTAAGATTCACATGTGACATCTTCAGAATGGTTATATGGACATTTAAACAAAGACATTCACCATCAAAGATGATATTCTGTTATGTTGACGATGACGGGTCGCGGAATATATATATATATCGAATATATGGTGCAATTCAATTTATATTACAATGAACCATTCATACAAAAAGTAGATTAATAAAGTTAATGATATAAAATGGCTAAATTCCTTCGCAAACAAAATTTTAAAGTTGCATTAACCTACAAATCACGCGATGAATGTTATGATCCGTGTTTTTAAAAATCATAAGGTCTTTTTTTAATACGCAAGTACTTTCAACTGTACATTCAGTCATCTTCATGCATGAAAATTATTTTGTTTTTGTTAAAATTCGGGTAGCATCCGAGACGAAAAAATTAAATGCGAATCGAAATATGTTCGCCATTTTATATCATTAACTTTACTAATCTACTTTTTGTATGAATGATTCATATTATATATATATATAGTCATATTATATATATATATATATATATATATATATATGTGTGTGTGTGTGTGTGTGTGTGTGTGTGTGTGTGTATGTGTATTTTATTAATAGCCGGATACTTTCCCTTTTCCGAGCACATTTCTCTGCTAGGGCAACTAGTCAATTCCTATCGCAGACACCTGCTCGGGCACGTTCGAGAAAATCAACCATGGTGAGATTCGAACTCTGGTTTCATTATATGTGTGTATTTGTGCGTGTGTGTGTATGTTGGTTTGTGTGTGCATGAAACATAAAGAGATGACGAGAGATAACTCCACACACATACACGTATACGTATATTAAATGGCATGTGCCTTCAGGCCGCAAGCGATCATGATTCTTCACATATTTCTTTTCGTTATTTTCTGTGTATTGAAGTGGTTTCCCTTTGTATTCTCCATGGTCTTAAATTGAGATTACATGCCTGGTTGACGTAAACCTTGTGAGTTGAATTGCGTAGATGGAACTGTTCAGAAGCCGTCGTTTTGCTAGCACAAAATCACAAATCACCGTGACTGAGAGTTTGAACATACTGGCATTGTTCAAATTCTGATCGTGGTCGATTATGCCCTTTCTCTCCAGAAAACGTAACTAAGATCTGCTCAGCATGACTGCAATATAAACCTGTCATATAGGAATAAAGTGTCGCTGCCGACACTTGGGTTTGAACACGGATCACCAGAGAGCAAGTACAGTCAACCTCATCTTATCTTAAATATATATATATAATATATATATATATATATATATATATATATATATATATATATATATATATATATATATATGAAAAAAGAGAATTAAGACACGTGAAATTTTTCGGATACATAATGAGGAAAGAAGGTTTGTAAAATTTAACACTCACAGGATATATTGACGACAAGCGAGACTGTGGAAAACAGCAAAGAACTGACCTAACGAGCTTTTGTAGTTGATTGACGAAACAGAGATTAGGAGACATGGCAAAAAGACATAATTTACTGCAAAGAGCTACAAAGGAGTATAAGTTGTGGAGAGTCATGATCGTCCACGTCCTGAAGGGACATGGCTTGTAGAAGAAAAAGAAGGGCTCTCTGGGTGTTATACAAATGCGGGTGTGCCTGAGTCGACGTCTATCACAGGATTTGGCTAGCCGCCCTAATAGTCGAGTATACTCGGAAAAAGAGTGTAGCTGGTCATTGTACACACACACACACACACACACACATATATATATATATATATATATATATATTAAAATTGTAATTAAAATTGTAGTTAAATAAAATGAATTCTAACCTCAACTTCTTAGTACTACACGCACTTAAAAGAATCCAATAAAACACCTACAGTAAAATGAAATTAATATGTAATATTGCTAGGAGATGTAAGCTTTTGAATGACCCATGTCCTTTGTACTTACATGAGAAACAATATATTACTAGGTTTATATAAAAATAAAAGTTTACTAAATCAGTGAAATTAAGTAGCTAATTTTGCCGTCATTGTCATAAATATTACTTAAATAATATTTAAATATAAAAAAAATCGTAACCTAATAATTTACATACTTATTATAATTGATGTGATAATAATTCTACGTACTGTGAGGGATTCTAATTACATTTAATTGTTCTTAAAAGAAATATAGTATATTAAAAATTAAAAGTAAAAATATTTCAAATCGTAGTTAAATAAAAAGTATTCTAACCTACCCCTCCCCCCCAAAATTCTTTAAATATACAAATAGGAAAAAATGCCGTAAGAATTTTTGCCGTTAACAATAAAATTTAAAAAAATCCAGACCACATGCTTTTAACGGATGTTAGATTTCATTGAAAAATACATCCCTACCCCTACCAAAACGTAACTAATAACTGATACATTCTAGTGAAAGTCGATTTATCTGTAACCTTGGAAACATGAATTATGATTTTAGCTGTGTCTTTAAAACCCAGTAATTTTAAAAGTTACTCCAAAATTCGCTTGAGGATGAAATGGAACTAATGTCTTTAATTTAATTACAAAATTAAATTCGGGGCATTTAGCTTCCATTTTTGAAACATGGTTAGAACTGTGTAGCGAAAAAAAAACATATTTTAAATCAATTAATTTATAATATTAATGCTCAGTAAATTTACATTGAGCACTATTTTGTAAAAATAAAAATATCTATAAGAACACCGGATTATATATCTTACTGTTCTTTCTTTTTATTTATATACATACACACACACACACACACACACACACACACACATATATATATATATATATATATATATAGATAGATAGATAGATAGATAGATAGAATGACTGGCTACATATATATCTCCAACGAATTAAATAATATTTATGTTGGTCACACCACAAACTCACTTTCACGACGCTTGACATTACATTTGAATGATAACCCTAACATGTTTAGGCATTTAAAGCAACATGCCTGGCCGCATACATAATTCCAAAAATTCCTTGTTGAAAACACAACTATACTTAAACATAAAAAAAATAAACAAAAACTAAAAATTCTTGAAGCTATATACATAAAACAGTTGAAACCTAACCTAAACAAAATAAACTATGAAATCTCCACAAATATCCTTAAATGTCTATAATTGGTAACAGAAGCCATTGGTTTATACCAATGGCTTCCCATACTTAATACTTCTCGAATTCACTCTCGCGCGGTCATGTGTGACGTCATGAGCTGCGGTGCGATTTTCGCTTCCAGCGTCTTATATGCACGTGTTTATCTTTGCTTGGAAACCATCCATGTAAACAGAAACAGACTATCATCACATTCTTGCCCGTGTATTGAATAATATATTGTACTGTAATTTGTCATCTTTGATAATGGCTTATGTAAGCCGAAGGCTTAGATTGTATTAAAAATATGTATCAATATTGTGATTTTCTTTCTTCGTTTAATGATAATGTTATTAAGCTTATCAGACGTTATGAAAAGAATTTAGATAAAATAAATAGACAACACTTGTCTATATTATTTAATGAAACATGTATGAATATATATATATATATATATGTGTGTGTGTATAC